AAAAAAATGCACAATTCACCCTTTTTTCTGCACCAAATTCTTGGACTATAGTGGAGAGTTCTGTTCATAGCTCTCATAGACTTGGTTCACATCCCTAGATCGATCTGACAAGATCGGTCCATCTCCACGGGGTTTCTTGCTAAATTGCATTTAGCTTAAGTGGCTTAGATCTCTAACACGCCTGCTAAAGCTGCTAGTTTATTACCCCTAGTTTTTTTTTTACCCCTATCAGCTTTACAGTAGGCGTGACAGATATCTAAGCCGCGTAAGTTAATTGCACATTAAACGAGAATCCCCTTGGAGATAGTTCGTTCCAAAGTTAGTACGATAGGGTCTGGGAATGGACTTATATTAGTTGTGTTACTTGTGTGTCGACGATTGATCAACGTTATATTTGGTAACACTAACCTCACGAGTTCACGCAATTCTTGTGAAAAGAATAACGATCAAAATGCAAACATTGAGAATTAATTGTATGGAAACTCTGTGAAATAATAATGATTGTAACAGTTGTTGCAAATAAACACTGCATCAATAAAGAACAAAGCAAGTCAATAACTTGTGAATGTTCCCTTACAATTTAGACTAGAGATAATATAAACTGTGTTCACCTATGACCTGCAGGCCAGGCATGTCTGAAAATTCCAAAATGGCCGTCAAATTCAAGATGGCCCCCAAAATACCTTTTCAAATTAAAACTTCAAGTACATAGTCTTCTAATAACTTAAAATATCATATAAAGGTTAGAAAACAACATGGTATAAATCCTTCTGGGCCCGGTTTCATCAAGGCTGGATAGGCTATCCTGTGGATAACACTATCCATGGTATAAATCTCTTATTCTCTGAATAGTTATTCTCTGTGTAAATTTGTGTTTCATAAAGGCTGGATAAAGAGCATGATAGTAATACAATGGATAAAAATTTATCCAATACCATATTTGGAAAAAGACATTCCCATAATGCAGTTGGTTGCTATAAACATTATAAAAGCCATGATAGTTGCTAACAAAAAGTGGTCTATACCATATTTGGAAAATAAATAACCCATAATAAACAATATTCTAAGTATATTTCAAGATGGTACATTCATTAAAATAATGGGGAAAATATCTACAGGATATTTTAGTGTCAGTGTCAATAACACATCACATTGCATTAGTTGTGCCTCATGCAATGTTTACACAGATTTGCAGTTGAAGGGCAAGGTCGTGACATACTTTCTACCAAAATGGCTGACTTGGCACATTTGGCAGATTCTGTCAATAGTAGTGTAGACATTTTTCGTCGATTTAAAAGGTATGTTTTAGTAAAATAAAGATAATTGGTCTCTCAGGGAGATTGCATGGGTTTTGTTCGTAGCAGGCGCGATGTCAACTTTGATAAAGTCTGTTACGTAATCTATTGATTCAGCATCACTTAAACCATCAAAAAGCAAACGTACATCTTCTAAAATTCTCTTTCTAATCATTCTACTCCTGTGAAATCTCATAGGATTTACTTCCAAAGCGAACAGGTTCGCCATTTTTGATGATTTAACAGCATGACAGCAGATTTATCCCACCTATTTCGAGCGGACAACTTTATCCTCTGGATAAGCTGATTTATCCCCTGGATAACGCTATCCACTGTTGATGAAATGCACTATCCTCTGGACAGCTCTATCCAGAGGATAGTGGCCATTTTTAGCCATAGGATAGCGCTATCCAGCCTTGATGAAACCGGGCCCAGGTGTATAAAATCCAAAATGGCCGCCAAAAGTAAAAAAGCAGACCATTTATTCAAGATATCCATTAGAAAAGGTGAATTAATCATGCACTTAAAACTACAAGCAAAAAGTTTGGCACATTTGTGGAAAATGAAATTCTCAGCAAGTTTGGATGTATGGGCATGTCCGAAAATTTAAAAATGGCCGCCAAATCCAAGATGGCAAATATTGATACTTCATGCATACCATAGTTTTGTTTAACCATAAAATGTTATCTTAAGCTATTATAGGATTATATACTTGAAGTTTTAATTTGAACGGGTATGTGTGGCGGCCATATTGGATTTGGGGGGCATATATTGGAATTTTTAGACATGGCCATATATCCAAAATGCTTGGAATCCCGTTTTACAACTGTGCCAAATGCCATGCTTGTAGTTTTTGATGAATTCACCACTATGCTGGATATCTTGGATTAGTAGAGTGCTTTTTACTATTGGCGGCCATTTTGGATTTAATGCACCTAAAGAAGCAGATATGGATGCTGAATTCACACTGTGGTGTTTTTTAACCTTTATATGATATTTAAGCCCTTTAAAGACTATATACTTGAAGATTTAATTAGAAGCTGTATTTTTGGAGGCCATCTTGGATTTGGCGGCAATTTTTAAATTTTCGGACATGCCCATACATCCAAACTTGCTGAGAATTTCATTTTCCACAAATGTGCCAAACTTTTTGCTTGTAGTTTTAAGTGCATGATTAATTCACCATTCTAATGGATATCTTGAATAAATGGTCTGCTTTTTTACTTTTGGCGGCCATTTTGGATTTTATACACCTGAAGGATTTATACCATGTTGTTTTCTAACCTTTATATGATATTTTAAGTTATTAGAAGACTATGTACTTGAAGTTTTAATTTGAAAAGGTATTTTGGGGGCCATCTTGGATTTGACGGCCATTTTGGAATTTTCAGACATGCCCATATATCCAAATTTGCTTAGAATTTCATTGTCCATAAGTGTGCCAAATTTCATGCTTGTAGGTAAAAAATGCACAATTTTTCACCAAATTCCTGGACTACTAACGATAATTCTAGAAAAACGTTCTGTATAGCCATGTTTACGGACAGCTAGCTTATCAAGGCTTAGCTGCTGAGTGAATAGCAGCTAGGTTTTAGTTTTCTTTATGTCAACCACAAGCGCGTATTGTAGGGGGGGGGGTTATTGATTTCCAACTAGTCAATTGCAAGACAACTTCCTCTTTCGTGCCGTACTTAAAGTCCCTGCCATAAGTACGAGAGGAGGAATTATCTCAGGTGTGTAAGGAACTGCTGGCCCGTTACCTGGTCCCCTCCCCCAACACAGTGTTACCTGTGACACACACGTCTACATGTCACCTTAAATGTGGTATTAAGCATGGTCTCAGCGTTCAGGTAGGTGGAGACGGTTCTGCTTTGTAAACAATGTCTGATAACCTTGTATTGTCTCGTATGTCACATAGAGATAAACCATAATAGGCTACCGTTTTGTTAAGGCTGGGATTCAATATGTGATATACACAGTGAACTATGGATTGGGTTGTTGATATAAAATAGTATCATGTACTATATCGAGCCTCATGGAAACTAGTCTCCAAATTACAAACTGGTTAAATCCACGGGAGAATGCTACATACACACGAGCGTGCTGGGCACATTGGAGGTTTATTCAGCAGCATTAGAACGCACACTTACACATTAGTAAAGAAAGGGGCGAACACATACATGGTCGCACACGTTCACATACAAGGATTTAAAAGAAAATGTCTTACCATTCCATAAATCATCCCACATCCTCTTTTATTATAGTTTCACACTTCATTTCGAATTTATTAGAATTCAAGGATGTACAAAGACAAATGCGAGAGACTCTCGGGTCGCACTAAAACAAAAGTATACTTACATTTTTAATCCGCGAACAAATTAATAATAAAAGTTATAGTATATTCTTTAGCAGTTTAGAATATTCTGCACTGGCGTTTCCGTCTACATCGTATAGCAAACACACCACGCATAAACTCGCACGCGTTCGGACACGCGGATGCACACACAAACATGGACACTCATATGTACACCCACACATACACACACACACACACACACACACACACACACATGCACACACGCATATGTACATGTGCCCACACGTAACGGAGACTGCACAGGGTTACACAAAATTACCAGTCATACTTGAGTCTATTCAAAATGCAGGATATTTAATGTTTCAATACGTATGATGTGATATCTATTGTCTATTCTATTGTCTCACCAATACCTCCCCCCCCCCCCCCCCCCCCCACACACACACACAGAAGAGGACATGTTTTCATCTCCATTTGTCTATTTGATTGTCACCAGCCGAACTCAAATGTTATGGATGGATTTTGTTGAAAGTACTTCATCATGGAAGTGCAAAACACTCATTTTAAACTTACGCAACCAAATAATTTTATATGAGGCTAAGAAGCAATGTACGATTTTATTTTCAAAAGCCATGGGTAAATATGCTGTATGTTATTAATAAATAATAAAGTAATTTATTAAATAACAAATCGTTGATTAAAAATGATAATTAAGATGCCTTGGCGGAGGTTTCTCCTCTCTGAGTGATATCTAGTATGATATCATACGGCAGGTGTTGTTAATTCGCAATGTGTGTGGTCGCAAGGGTGAGCGTGCTGTTGTCTAAGCAGGAAGTGACGAATTGATTGGCAGGTATAGCAGACGGTAGGTAAGGCAGGTATACCAGGCGGTAGAGGACTGCAGCTGAGAAAGGAATATTAAACCGCTGACACTCGTGACGTGAGATCTAATTGACTCAACACATTTTTCCCGTCATATCGATTTTTGTTGCGGAGAAACATGACATAAAATATTCATATTTATCACATTGTGCTAATTAGCATATTCTCGTCCTCCACTGTTGTGTTAATTCGTGTATTTTATTTCCAGGAAAATATGAAATCCCTAGTAAGACTCAAGACCTACTACATAGCGTCGGCTGTAGTGCTGTTGGTCTACTTCTTGCTGAGGACCGCCATGATTACTAATATCACTACGGACCCAGATGAACAATTGGTTCCCAGGGTTGACGAGGATGATGCTGGTTCTCTGGAAGAAGAATACCCACAGGGAAAAATTCCGTCAGAGAGTTGTCGGAAGTTATTCGAAGGCGATCAAAAAGAAATTCGTCGGATGAAGAAGCACATGTCACAGTTTACTCCCAAAGTCATTACTGATCAAGAGTTCGTTATGTTAACAAAAGATTGTGAGATTTTTCAAAAGGAACATCGATATAGCATGACAGTGAACGAAGAAGAGAAAAATTTCCCAATAGCATTTAGTATTTTACTGTATAAAGACGTAGTCCAGGCGGAGCGACTGTTGCGGACTATCTATAGACCGCATAACGTTTACTGTCTCCACGTGGACGCCAAATCTCAGCCTTCAGTCCTCCGCGCTGTGGAAGGTATTGCTAGGTGTTTCCACAACGTGTTCATAGCTACTCGCCTGGAGGAAGTAATCTACGCGGGATACTCGCGTCTCCAGGCTGAAATCAACTGTATGAATGATACTCTACACAGGAAAGAAGAGTGGAAGTATTACATAAACTTAGCGAGTCAGGCCTTTCCGCTCAGAACAAACAGAGAGATGGTGCAGATTCTGAAGCTTTACAATGGAGCCAATGACATCGAAGGCATTACTGGTGCTCGTCTTCAATCAGTAAGTCAGCGGTTTAATTTTCACTGGAAATTAACACGGAACGGTGCCATTTATAAACTGGAACGCTCAAAAATCAAAAAGAACCCTCCGCCCTATAACATCACTATAGTCCGAGGCAGTGCTTATGGAATATTCAGCAGAAATTTTGTAGAATTTATACTGCACAATCCTGCTGCTAGAGCTCTGCTAAGCTGGTCACGTGATACATATAGCCCGGATGAGTTCTACTGGGCCACCCTGCACCACCTTATGTACAACCCGCACCTCAAAACGCCGGGCGGATACGCTGGTTAGTTTATATTTATGTTGCCATAGAGACTACGGATTCTTGTCAGTCAAGATATTTTCTTTTCCAGTAAACTATATTCTAGACGTAAACATTTTCAAGATTATTGTTTCTGTTTCAAAACCAAAGGTAGACATAACTTTAAAGTAACATTCGAAGCGAGCGCTGATTCCCAGTAACGCAAATAAACTACTTCTACTAGCTTATCATACCACTAAAATAAAGACGACATGTTAAGTATAGTAAACCAAATTAATATAATCCTTATTTCATAAAAAATGTCCTATTTATCTTCCCCATTAGTTCGTAAAAGTCCAATAAATGGTAGCGATGCGCACATTGCTCCACAATGGAAATGTGAAACGATGCCCACCGGTGTTCCTCTAAGTTAAACCATTTGAATCTATGTGGTAACATTTGCATGGTCCGGTTTTGTGGAAAAGATTGACTTCTAATGCATCTTTAATTGTTTGGAACTTTGACAGAGAACGTTCATACCTTTACATGCTATTTCTTCCTACCTGTATATTCCAGGTGTTCCGGACAAGAAGGCTTGGCTGGCTGTATACGCGGCATGGGGAGGTGTGGACCCGTGTGCGGGACGCTGGATGCGAGCGGTTTGTGTCATGGGGGTCGGGGACCTACATCGTCTAATTGAAAGAAAAGAGTTCTTTGTCAACAAGTTCCTGTATGACTTTGAGCCCCCGGCCTTGGACTGCGCCGAGGAATGGATCCGGGCCAAGGCGACGTTTGCCTTTCCATTTGATCTTAATTATTACCGTGCCTTGCCATTTTTAAAGAAGTGACTTTCATTCAGCATAAGCTATTTAATCGGGGTTTTTCAGAATACGTCGGTCGTAAATGTGGGTCTTTTTATTTTGATATTAGTAGAATTCCTTTAGATGAAAGTGGACCACTTGCCGGTCATCTGTAGAGCACACTTAGACTGCGTTCCCGTGCCTAGATCGATCTAACAGGATCGATTTATCTCCGAAGAATTTCTCGCTAAATTGCTTTCAGCTTAAACAGCTTAGGTGTCTGTAACGCCTACTGAAGCTGCCAAACCATAATTAATTACCCCCTTCAGAAGGCGTGACAGACATCTAAGCCGCTTAGGTTAACTGAAATTTAATAGCGTGAATCCCCTCGGAGATAGATCAATCCTTAGTTTGTACTATAGGGTCTAGAATTGGTCCCTTAGAAATGCACACGGCGTAGAACAGTGAACGTATTATAGATGTATACATAAGCGATACATTGGTGCAATTATGGTAGAAATCTAATATTTATTGCTGTAGTAGGGTCCCTACATGTACAGTATAGGTATAGACCCTTTTGATTATTCGTGATATCAGGTTGTATATTATCAGTAGAGTTTTGTCTGTTTTCTATTGGAGATGGTCTCCAGTCACAGTTCAGTCTATTCCTTTGGTGATGAACTCAGTAGCATTACGTCATTTCCACCGTTTTACCTGGAAATCCTCAATATATTCAGTGTGTCGTGTGCAACGTACTTTTGCACTGCCTCAAAACAAGAATGGCCTCTGGTTTTTAACAGCATTTTTATCGAATGCCTGATTGTTGTTTAAATTTGTTGAATTGTTGACAATGTTTTTTGTGTTCTGTATTTTATTGACCGAAATATCGGTGTCGTTTTTTTCAAGCCATATTTGTTAAGTAAATTTAGATTCAGGTAAAATTACCTTTGATGATTTTGAGTGATAATCAATAAGTAGAGTTGGTAAATACGTAGACAAGAGAGAGAGAGAGAGAGGAGGAGGAATAGGGAGAGATTAATAAAATAATATTTTTAGAAACATCCCTTTGTTTGGCTTGTTTAATGTTCCACTTCAGTATCATAATATTACACTGCACAATCGAAATTATTCTAGGAAATAAAACTTTTTTTTTTACCTTATTTTGCCATTTGTTTAATTTGTTCAGCGATATAAACATTACTGCAGGTATAATGTGTTAGTTGAGACTATTGTTTCAAGTTGAATTTGATTGTGTTCGATTGTGCGAATATTCTGAAGTGCGAGTATTTATGCTTTGTGTTTTGGCTTCTCTCTGGTATTTATCTTTTTGTTTAATATTGTCAAAACTGTTTTTGAAATTTCCCTCAAAATGATACACCAAGAATTCGTATAATTTTTCTGCTCTTATTGAGATCTGGTGATGTCATGTCAGTCACATCGGTGTATAGTAAGTGCTCATTAGCGGACGAACATTTTTTTGAGTACTTTTGCCACTTTTGTGCCGGAGAATATTTAAACAATGGATAAAGTTGTCGCAGAACTTGCACAAACGGTGGTAAGAAAGGACACTTTGGAGTTACTTAACAAAAACTAAAAAAATGAAGTTTTAAGTCGTACAGAATTCGTTTTACAATTCGATAATTTGTTTTTGAAAACTAAAGCCGCGTCAAAACACTTTTGACACTTGAAACTCACAGACAGCTTTGTGATATAATGCTTATTTCATTCATTAAGTTTGAACACTGGCAAGAATATAATGATGTGCAATCTGGGGGTATTGAAGTGGGTAATTAAAAAAATTTGCAGGAGAGTGACGATGTTGTTGAGTTAAAAGATACACAGTCGCCAAGAAAAGACGCTCCACCCCACCCCACCCTGACCTGGTGCTCATACAACGTAGAGTGGTAATAAAGATGTGAAAAAAATTGTTAGTAGTAAATAAAATACTTCCACTTACAGTCATTTTCTAGGATGAGTTCCTGACACCCCCACCCCACCCCCAAGACCACCTCAGATCTCTTCCACTGTGTATACAACACATCAGACCTAGACTAGGCCATCCTCTCTCTATATATTCCATTTTTTCAGTTGTCTCTAAGTAAACAGGTGAAGTCAAATTTAGTGGCAGTGGCAGAGGAATGGGAAGATATTAAAAGAAACACAGCTGGCCAAGATCAAGTAAATGACAGTATTAATTGTTTCATAATAACAATAAAATTTGTGTAACTGTCAGCAGTTTAATTTTTTTTTTTTTTTGAATGCTCGCCCTGGCAGTCTTAATGGAAGCAATTAAATGCAAAAGAAAGCTATTATTCTGAAACTTACTAAGTTGTATTTTTTTCAAGAAATGATTAAGATGCAATTTTGATTCATATATACAATATGATTTAAAAGGACCAGGCTTTAAAATTAACTGTTAGCAATGTTATTTTATTTTTAATGACTGATACATAATTACGTAAAGTGAAAGTATCTACTATGAAAGAAAGCAACTTTTTAAAATAATTTGATTTAAAGATAAAAGTTTCCTGTTGTTTCCAAGACCAATAAAGATGCAGTGACCGTGTCAAGAAAAGACTTGACTGCTTTAAAAAGACAGGTTAGAATGCTCCAACAAAACCTGCCCAAAGTTTTGGACAATGATTTCAAGTCAGCATATTCGCAGCTTGCAGTAGCAGAAGAAGGTATTTATACAGTAGCTTACAAGAGGGGGGTAAAGATTGAGGTTGCTTTCTGGGTGTGTGCGAGTGTGCAGATGTGTGTATGCATGCACATGTAAAACAAATCTAAGATTCACTCATGCATATTTCTGTGGTCTGTTTGTTGCCATTAACCGTCTATGTTTGGTAAAACAAAGCTGTTGTAAAAAGTAGCATTTGCTCCTCGACACAGGATAAGAGACAAGTGTGCAGTGAAGTCTTGTGAACATGACTCATATGATATTAGTCATATTATAGTCTGTCAAAATATTGATGTTTTAAGTAATTGTACACCAGGCAGCGATTTCAAGAGAAAATAATTTCTTTTTACCCAGCAAAAACAACAAGAAATGTACTAGTGTACATAATTTTGAGCTGTACTATTAGAATAAAAAAGATGTTTCAAAATTTTAAGTTGTTATGTGGATAATATAATAATTTTGCAGTAGAGTAACAATGGTGTGAAGTTATGGTGAATGGATGTCAAGAAAAGACCCCTCCAACCCCCCACCTCCCCAACCCTCCACCCCACCAACCCCCCACCTCCCCACCCCTCCACCCCACCAACCCTCCACCTCCCCAATCCTCCACCCCACCAACCCCCCACCCCCCC